CAGACACAAATGCAGTATAATACGATACTTTACTGACAACGTTTCGCCCACAGTGTCAGACCCGAGTATTACACTCATCACTTCAGCACCTGCACTGGTATCTGAGGGTGATATCTCCCGGAAATCACTGATTCTGACGCAGCATATCCGACAACACATTACACGTAGAACAAACCTGAACCAGGTTAGGGACTGCGGTGAAATTACGACGTAGGTTCCGCCACAGGTGCTGTTACGGGTTGGTCTGATAATGATGACTACTGTGTTCACACAAAAATAGACGGAGAGATTCATGCCATGGTAGTTGAGTTGTCCTCACTGCCTGCCTGTTGTCTTCCTCCATTCTTATGTTCTAACATCCTGAGTAAGAGACTGAAGGTGTGGATACAAAATACATTGTGCTAGTGTCCATGGTATATCGGGTGGGCGATGGACTTGCTAGTCGGGAGCTGCTTATAGCAGGTACTTATATACATTCTTAACTTAGGTACTTATAAACATTCGACAAGTTCTGTCAACGACTAAGTGCAGAGGTAGATGACGTGAGGAGGTATTTACAGCTTCATAAGAAGGCAATGACAGGCTGAAACATAGTCGAGGTGGGTCAAGATGCAAGTGTTAAATGAGATGCTTGTGCAACATTTGGGTATCTTTATTCTGGAAACGTTTCGCCAGACAGTGACTTCTTCAGTCCAGTGCAGAGGAAGGTGGAAGATGAGGAGGACTTCGAGGTAATCAGAACTTTGAGGTTTACCTGGAGCAGTTTACCTGGAGAGAGTTCCGGGGGTCAACGCCCCCGCTGCCCGGTCTGTGACCAGGCCTCCTTAGGTCAGTGTCCCAGGATGCGACCCACACCAGTCGACTAACACCCAGGTACCCATTTTACTGATGGGGAACATAGACAACAGGTGGAAAGAAACACGTCCAATGTTTCTACTCTGGCTGGGAATCGAACCCAGGCCCTCACCGTGTGAAGCGAGAGCGTTAACCACCAGGCCACCAGAGGTAATCAGGACTTTGAGGTAATCAGGACTTTGAGGTAATCAGGACTTTGAGGTAAGGCTATGATAATTATGGAAGACTCAAAAGTTAAAAAAAAGGACGCAACATTTTGTAACAAAAAAAAAAATGGAAGAGAAGGATGATTAGTATTAATATCATGCGAAGCGTTAAATTCGTGTGGTGAAGGCTCGATCCTCCATCCATTAATCGCAAGACAGACTTTCCCCAAAAGGAGAATGAGGGGTGTACTTCCTTGTAGCTAGGATAAGCAATAGAGATAATAATGAATAGATATGCAATAATATGAGAAATTAAGTTATCTGCCTCAGTGCGGATGCAGTGAATTTGCGAAGCAGAGAAACGAGGAGCTGCGTGAGAAGTGTATGGCAGATATGGACTTACGTACGGTATTGAGAGAGAACCTATTACACGTAGCAGTTTGGCCACTCTAATGGGTAGTGAATGAATAACTGAGAGAGAGAGAGAGAGAGAGAGAGAGAGAGAGAGAGAGAGAGAGAGAGAGAGAGAGAGAGAGAGAGAGAGGTGGAGGAAGGATGCCGGGATCACCATCAACAGTATTAATGGGTGGTACCAGTGATCGTCCGGTATGAACGCAGGTTTAGGGTTCAGTCAGTCGTGTTATCTACACACACAGCTCGTATCCAGCTTCCTGCTGTGGGTATTGATGTGCACGTTGTTACTGAATGGAAAAACAAATGCCTCACAGGTTCAACATTGTGGGCATAAGATTACTGTACTTAAGTGGAAGACGCTTCCCCTCTCTGGGGAGGAGATAAGCTGGAGGATACCTATCTGAGGGGAGGGAGGACGTCCCTTTCTGAGGGGAGGACATCCCTCTCTGGGAAAAGGACATCCTTCTCTGAGGGAAGGGATGAGAGTCCTTTCTGAGGGAAGGACATCCCTCTCTGAGGGAAGGGAGAAGAGCCTTCTTTAAGGGGAAGGAGGAGCTCCCTTTCTGAGGTGAAGACATCTCTCTCTGAGGGGAAGACATCCCTCTCTGAGGGGAAGACATTCCTCTCTGAGGGGAAGACATCCCTCTCTGAGGGGAAGACATCCCTCTCTGAGGGGAAGACATCCCTCTCTGAGGGAAGGACACCCTTGTCACTGAAGTAAAGGAGGAAGAAGGAAGTGAAGCCTTTTCTGAAAGAAGAGAAAGAGGGAAGGAACCCTTCCCGTGGGAGTGAAAAAAAAAGGAGAGATGCGCCTCTGGGGAAGGAAGATGATCCCTTACTGGGGGAAAATTAAGAAGGGAAACTCTCTCTCTGGGGAAAGAAAGAAGGCAGAGTAGATCCCCTGTCTGGGAGGACGAAGATCCATCCCTGCATGAGCTAGAGGTGGAAGTGGATCCCTCTCTAGAGGATGGGATGAAGAGGGAGGAGCATCCAACTGTAGTGGGAGGGAGAGAGGAAGTGGGAGAGATCCCTCACTGGGGAGGAACTAGGGGTGGCTCCCCCTGGTAAAAACAACCAAGTCTCACCTGAGTTGCGGAACATTGTTGCTACTAGAGTCAGGCCCTTGTGTGGCTCCTGCTGCCTTTCCTACATCAGCTATCCGCTATGCTGCTGTTAATGTTGTCGTCTGGTGGTGCTACTGGCGGAATTGGTGGCGGTGCTGGCAGTGGTGCTAATGGTGATGGGTGATGGTGCTGCTGTAAGTAGTAGCAGGCACTATCAGCAGTGCTGTTGAAGGTGACGGCGACGCTATTGAGGGTACTGGTATTGTTAGGGATGGCAGTGCTGGTAAGTGCTGGGTCGTAGCAAGAAAGTACTAGGTCCTAGCCAGGAGGTATTGGATCCTAGCCAGGAGATGCTGGATCGCAGCAAGAAGGTGCTGGGTCCTAGCCAGCAGGTACTGAATCGCAACAGGGAGGTGCAGGGCCTTAGCCAGGAGGTATACAAGTGGGCGGTGAAGTTGGGATGCAGACGGGCGGTGGTCTAGTGATGATCCCTGTTAATTAAGCGTCCACTGTGAGACCCTCTACACTGAATGACTTGTTGAGCTCCCCATGACCCACCACACTGAGTGGATTGAAAGGCACTGAGACCAACTACACTGAGTGCCGTAATGGGCTCCGAGACACGCTACTCCGCGTGGCTTCTTACCACCGTAACTAACTGTGAAGGATGTTACTGCAGTTCCACTAGTGACAGGCGTTATTTCCACCGTGATTGGTAAAAGATGTTGTTTCTACTATGACTGACTGTGAAAAGGGTTTCTTCCACCGTGGCTGCCTGGAGGAATGTCTTCCACCGTGATAGGTCAGCTAGGGAAAGAAAGGTAAAAGAAAGGGATATAAAGGGGAAAGAAAGGGAGAAGGCTAGAGGAAAAAACAGTGGTGATTTTAGAAGCAGTGCTGATTCACTGGTAATAGCAGCAGTAGTGGTGAAAGTGGTGGTGGTGGTAGTATTAGTGGTGGTGGTGGTAGTATTAGCAGTAGCAACAGTAGTAATGACGGTAGAGATTGCTAGTGTTGGCTTTAGAGCCACATTGGTAGTATGAGTGATAGTGGTTGTGCTGCTGCTATTGTTAACTCACTGGTGGTTGTGGTAGTTGTGGTAGTGTGGTAGTAACAACGCAGTTTGGGCCAACATGACGGATGTTATTGGCAGGCTTACGACTGCTGGGCGTTTGACCAATGAATGGAGGTCACTAGCACACGTAATTAAGGTTACTCGGGAGTCCGAGTTAGGCTATAATAACAGTGTTCTGAGGCAGGGTGAGGAGGTGGGGCAGGGTGCAGGAGGTGGGGCAGGGTGAGGGAGGTTGGGGCAGGGAGTGGAGGTGGGGCAGGGTGAAGGAGGTGGGGCAGGGTGAGGGAGGTGGGGCAGAGTGTGGGAGGATGGGGACGATGAGCTCAGTGCCAGTTATTGGGAAATTAGTGCCATGCACCTGTCGTTCAGTGCCATCTATCGAGATCTCAGTGCCCTCTAACGGGTGCTCAGTGCTATCAGGAGCTATCTACTGAGACTGCAGTGCCATCCGTCGAGAGTTCAGTGCCATTTACCATGAGATCTGTGCTATGTACCGGTAATTCAGTGCTGTCTACCGGGAGTTTAATGCAAAGTGCTGGGGTCGAGGTCTACTGGTGGGTTCTACACACTGACGACGTCATTATCCATCCCAATACACAGCGGTTACTTGTTAAGTTCGGGGTTGAGAGGGGAAGTGCGTGAGCTGGTAGGTGCCTAGCGTAAGCTGGTAGGTGCCTAGAGTGGGCTGGCGGGTGCCTAGCATGGGCTGGTGGGTGCTTAGCGTGGGCTGGTAGGTGACTAGCCCTGTTACTTACTGATACTCACACTATGACAACAGTTACAAAACACCGGTTTCGGTCCCCTGCTGTTGAAAAAAATGAAACACTTTTCTCGGTAAAAGTCAATATACTTTTCATGTATATTATATTTTGGACCTCTGCACCTGTTAATGTTAGTGTATATCTTCACTACGATATCAAACGAGCCACTCAGTATGTCATTACTGCATTGTTCGTTGCTCGGAGGTACACAGGATGGAACTGGGAACACTCCCCAAGGAAGTGTCCTTGGTCTAAAGTTGTTTAAGGGTCTGATGAGCACTAACACGGTGAAAGTAGCGAGTTGTCCAGTGTCTGGGAGCCTTCCCGTTGTCTGTCTCACCCGTGCATCACGCTCCCAGTGCTGCTGAAACACTGAAGTCCATGGGAAGGGGAAACCAGCAGTGCCTGGTGGTGGTATGAGGATGACGGTGCGCCGGGAAGGTCGTCAATGCTGGCCTGTTAGAGTGCGAGGAAGGACTGAACGAGTCCTGCTGCTGCCTTAACCTTGTCAGCCTTGCGTTTTGCGGCCCTCAAGTGGACGTTGAAAAGTTCGAAGATCCTCTCCTCGCCAGCACTTGCCGTTGTTGATCTACTGCAGGACGTTGTGGCAACAGCTGACTGGTAGTATATCATGTGTATAAGCAGCTGTGCTCCCAAATGCAGCTAGCATGAAGGGAGTATTGCCACGACAGCTACACTGTAAACTGTGCTGTTGGGTGAGGGTGTTGGCCAGTGGCGATTGGGCGGAGTGGACGGGTGAGAGCGGCACCCGACAGGTCCCACGGGTCGCCAGCAGTTACTGGGGTTGTTGTGTGTGATGGTGGTGGCTGGACCTCTGCTACCCCGCCTGCGTCAGTGACACTCGACCCTCCACCACTACCACAACATGATTAGACTGGTCACCTGGACTCAACATGGTATAACTAGAGTAACAGGTAAACAAAACATGCTGGAAAATCGTCACCTATTTTTAGTTTGGCCTAAAATTCGCCATATGACACTGGCAGACTGCAGGACGTGAGTCCTCAATGGCATTAATTAGGGGAGATCCCGTCCTGGTGGAGGGAAGGGGGGGGGAAGACGGGAAGGAGGGATGCATCCCCACTACAAGCACCACAACACTACCTTATGTGCTTTAGTTCCTCCTATATCTTCCTGATCTACGGACATATGGCAGTAGAACTGCGTCTTTGTCTGGCTTTCACGAAATCTGAGTGACATTACACGCTCTTCTGTTTACATTAAATTTCTTTCAGATTGTATCGCATTTTATGCCCTTTAAGGATGTGCAGCGATACCGGTGAAGGGCTCTTGCTTCAAGGAATTGCAGTTATCCTCCACTTGTTTGGATCAAACCTGCTAACCGTCCATTCCCCACTCGCTCTATGACCCCTACATTTAACGATTCTCTAAGAATATAATAATAGTTGTATTTCATGAATCGCTATACCCGTTAAATAATAATCTAGGTGGAAGGTCTAGAATAGCAAGAGTTGTAAAGAGATCCAGATTATGACACTAATCATTAGTTCTAATGGCTGTCACTGGTCTGATACGTAATTCATACAATGGGTACTGTCTATAAAGCTCCTTAACTGTATCACATGGGACAAGTGATGCAACACGGGTTGTTTTGTGCCGAGGTTTCACTGCTAACAGTGACTAGCAATGCGCCTCCAAGGTCTCAGCAATTGTGAATGATTAAGGGGCTGGCACTGAAATACACAGTATGGCCACTGAGTTGCTGTGCGGTACTGTGGACTGTAACTGCGTATAGTATAGCAAGGTACTCACTGAAGGGTCCGGACTATACGCTGGACCTGGGGTTTCTCTGAGAGACCCACTAGATTCCTAACTATACACAGAATCTGACCCTCTCCTTGAGGGGTCTGGACTGTGAATTGAAAGTAGTCCTCACTGAGGGATCCGGACTATACATTGCACATGGTTTTTTCTCTAGACTCCAACTCTGTGCAGTCCCCAACATCTGGCACCACACAAGCACTGAGTGGACTCCTGAATGTGTTTGGGCAATAAATCTTGGTGTTTACAATGGCCGCTGAGTTGTTGCACCTCCTGGAAACCATGTTTGTGGGATAAATGTTGATATGAGTGATATAATCAAACATTACTCCCCTTCAAGGAGGATGCCTTGATGCTGGTGAAGACCTGATGATCCTAGGACTTGGAGCTACCTTGCTCTTCAGATCAAACCTGATTACTGCCCATTCCCTAGCGTTATACGACTGTTACAGGTATCTTTGTCTCTCAACGCAAAGTCAGTGTTGCACATGTGTCTTTTGTTCCTCATTGCAGTTTCCTAGTGTATCGCATGTGTCTTTGTCCCTCAACGCAGATTCGTAGTGTTGCACATGTGTCTTTGTTCCTCAACGCAGATTCGTAGTGCTGCACATGTGTCTTTGTTTCTCAACGCAGATTCCTAGTGTTGTACATGTGTCTTTGCTCTTCAACGCAGATTCCTAGTGTTGTACATGTGTCTTTGCTCTTCAACGCAGATTCCTAGTGTTGCACATGTGTCTTTGCTCCTCAACACAGATTCCTAGTGTTGTACATGTGTCTTCGCTCCTTAACGCAGAGTCATAGTGTTGCACATGTGTCTTTGCCCCTCAACGCAGATTCCTAGTGTTGTACATGTGTCTTCGCTCCTTAACGCAGAGTCATAGTGTTGCACATGTGTCTTTGCCCCTCAACGCAGATTCCTAGTGTTGTACATGTGTCTTTGCCCCTCAACGCAGATTCCTAGTGTTGTACATGTGTCTTTGCCCCTCAACGCAGATTCCTAGTGTTGTACATGTGTCTTCGTCCTTAACGCAGATTCATAGTGTTGACATGTGTCTTTGCCCCTCAACGCAGATTCCTAGTGTTGTACATGTGTCTTCGCTCCTTAACGCAGAGTCATAGTGTTGCACATGTGTCTTTGCCCCTCAACGCAGATTCCTAGTGTTGTACATGTGTCTTCGCTCCTTAACGCAGAGTCATAGTGTTGCACATGTGCCTTTGCTCCTCAACGCAGATTCCCAGTGTTGCACACGTGACTTACTAATCAACGTGTCGGTATTCTATGTTATTTATAATATGACAATTCCGCGTAAAATAACAAAAAATAATGACATACGGAAAAAAAATTTAGTATTTACAACTTAAATATCTATTTCCTATCCTTGACAATGAGAGGTTGCGCCTCCCACCAGCCTCTGTATCCTAACTCTTTGTAGCATGTCATTAAAAATACTTTTGTTTCCCTTCTCGTGTGCAGCAAGATGAGTATTTTCTTTTTCCAACTTATCAGCGTTCATTAAGACTGATTGTTTCTTTAATGGCCGCCATATTAAAGAGAACTGAAGACACCGTATTACGACTTTGAGTAAACAAAATAAAAATGAAGACTGAACGAGGTTTTGATCTACCGAGGATCAATACCAAGTCTCTCGGGGATATGATAATGATCCAGTAGGGACCGAAACGTCGCCCAGATGCCGTCTCCAATGTGTAGGATTGTTATCTATAACAATAGCGCCGTTTGAATGAACGTCCAGAGGGCGGCGCATATCTCCTACAGGATATCCTCCTCCAGTGGGTGTTGCTGTCCATAATCAGTTTGCAAGATCATGCAGGATATAAGTGTAATGTCCTGCAGGATCGTTAAGTTGGATTAGTTTACGATCCTCTGGAATATAAATGCATGTTACTGAAGGATATAAATGTGATCCTCCGATAAGCGTAAATTCCTCCAAGTTAGGAATACAAGATCCTCTAGAATACAGATGAAAGATTCTCTAGAACATAAATGTAACAAATTAGAGAATATAAATGAAATTCCCTTCGTTATATTATACGGGTATTATTATTATTATTATTATTATTATTATTATTATTATTATTATTATTATCATTATTATTATTATTATTATTATTATTATTATTTATGTAATATGTTAAACCTGTGTTGGTCATTTAGCGCAAGAAGTGGTGGAGGCTCGACCCTCCATCCTCGAATCGCGGCGTGGTTACGGCCCGTGCCGCAAGCGTGTGTGCTGCAGTATATTAGAGGGAGTGTGCCGTCACACGGTGTACCCTGCACCGGCTTTTCCGTTCATTTCACTTTTCCCAGGAAGCCGAGACGCTTGTTAGCTCCCCACATGCTAATCAACGGATTTAACAGTTTGCTGAATCGCAAATTGATGGTTCGACGCTTATCCAAATAGATGGGCCTCGTTAAGTCATAGATTTTTTTATTTTTTTTTTTTTTTTTTGGGGGGGGGGGGGGTTGGAACGGGTTGGGAGGACAAAGGGGAACTGCTATCATGAAGTAGCATATGATTTTTGAGGATTTTTCTTCCAAATTTTGGAAAGTAATTTGTAAAGAGGTTATTGACAATTTCTCTAACTAGTTTTTCCAGAATTACTTCTAAAATTTCATTCTTTGAGAGTGTCCTCATCTCCCTGCAAAAGTCTTCCAGCTCAGAGTGAAATATTTCATTGCTTCTTGTATACACCTCTACCCGGAGTCTACCTGGAGGGTATTCCGGGGGTCAACACCCCCGCGGCCCGGTCTACTATCAGGCCTCCCGGTGGATCAGGGCCTGATCAACGAGGCTGTTATTGCTTGCCACACGTAGTTCAACGTACGAACCAAAGCCCAGCTGATCCGGCAGTGACTTTAGGTATCTGTGCAGCTCCCTCTTGAAGACAACCATGGGTCTGTTGGCCTCATCCTGTGTGATGGAGTATGACAGGTAACAACTTTTGTTCCCGCAGTGTAACTATCAAATAAAGTAGAGCAGCAGCTCATTACGGGTGTTCCCACAATGTGTCTCTCATACTTAATAATATACAAGCACACTGCAGGTGTTCCCACAGTGTAACTGTATAGAATAACAACGACTTATCGGTGATCAATATTGACTAACATCGCTGTCTCAGTAGGAATACTTAAGCGACACTGATGTGCTTTTATTTGAAGATCAGAATATTCACCAGAAATATAAAACACACGAAACAGGCCAAGGTCTTTTATTAGGAAACATTCCCCCCTAAAAAAAAAAAAAAAGAGCTCCAGACCTAAACATTTCTAGTTAGATGCTCGTCATTGACTACAAGAATACAAAGAGTGGAGAGTAAAGAGCCGCAAGAGGATAAACACAACGCTGCATCACTTGTTTATTCTCTTCTCAGAAGAGTAGCTCATCGATATTTCCTGCTACAGTTCTTGGACCATCTGTCGCAACTATAGTGCTATTAAAATATTGATGGGGAGCGCTAAACCCGTATAGGACATGCAGCGAATGGGAGATAATCAATTTTGTTCCGAGGAAGAGGAGGGTATCTCCAGTTCTTTATACCAGAAACCCTTCGCCAGCGTCACGGCTCCCCTCTTTAAAGAACTTAAACTCGCCAGCTCCTGCATAATAAGAATCGTCAGTTCTTCCAACAGACACACGCACTGTCCATCCCTGATCTCGTGCTGCAGTTCTTCAAGCACATGCAAGCACTGGTCACCCTTGTTTGATGCTCACGTGTTGACATGTTGACATGCTTATACTATTTAAACATGACTAGTATTAATTCTTTACTCTTGCCATCTGCTACACTGTAAGAAATGATGCATAAGTGTGTGTTTATCCTCCTATCCACACACTTTACATTGTCTTTCCTTTATTGGGGCTCCTACATCAACCTGCATCACGTACATGTAACATAACCGATTCTTGGCCACCATCGTCTTTACTCTTCAATTTTAATCCGAATCTTCCTTGCAATGTGCTGCAATGCCTTTTCAAAGTAGT